ATAATAAATGGAGGAAGGCATTGAATACCTCCTTAAGAAAAACACTGCAGTTTCCCTTTGGGGGAATCTCTAGTGTACAAGGTGACATTGACTGTTATTTTTGTGTAGTCAGTAAATGGAAATGGATTTTTAACAATATCACTTGTATATTAGTGGTTAGTAGAGAGATATAAAAACATGGTGTTGATTTGCAGCTTTTGGTTCCAACATAGCAAAGAAGGATGAATAATTTTGGAGAATAATATATAGTACATACTTCTTCATGTCTTGAATATACTCCTGAAGCTACTCAGTATCTCTAGTTGGTTGTTAGGCGTGTGTTTTTCTTTTGTTTATAGCAGGTTAAATAGATGTAGATATTGTTAAAAGAAAAAAAAAGCGATTTTAATGTGTAAATCACCTGGGAATCTTATTAAAACACAGATTCTGGTTTAGTAGTCTGGATTGAGGCCTGAGATTCTTTATTTCTAGCAAGCTTCCGGGAGATACTTTTCTGCTGGAGTACAACATTTTGAATAACAAGGGAATGAAGGATTCTTAATTTCTTTGATAATCTCCTACTATGTATAATATGGAAAAAGAAGAATTAAAAATGTTCTTAAGCTATTGGTTTAAAAATATATTTAAGAAAACCAAACAATGGCATGCATTTCTATAGAACATTTAGTTGTTTTTTATCCCAACAGAGATTTTCTATATCTTTTAGAAAAATATTGATCAATAACTCTTGCTCATTTTACCTGAATCAAAAGGGCAGTTGAGAAATGTCTTCAATATCTATTTTCACAGTAGTAGTTGCCATAATAATATTTATTTTCTAGATACTTTGTGGCCTTCATTCAGTTTGTTAATCCTCAGCCATTTGCTGGATACATCTACTCTTGCAAGCCTTTGTGGCTATAGAAATAATAACACTGCCCCTGCCCAGTCTGTGTGGGACACACTTAAACAGACTAAAAGGACAGTTGCATGATATGATAGAGGTAATCATAGTGTGCTTTGAAGGTTTCAAAAGAAATACATATTCAATACGTTTAAGTGCAAAACAGAGTTAATGTTGGAGGGGCTTCTTACAGAGGGCTAGCAATTTAAACCGCAAAGCAACTCTGTGTTTTGGGTAATCTTATTACCCACATTTTACACAGGAGGAATTGTGGCTCCAGGAGTTTCAGGTCCAAGCCGTGGGGCTAGCACATGACGGAGAGGCCTGGAATCTGGTTGGTCTTAATTCACTTCCTGCCTCTTGCCCCTCTACCACATTCCCTCCGTTCCATGTGTCTTCTTAAGTCATTACCTGGCTAGGATTATTTCCTAGTCTTGTGCTTACTCTTGTTAATTCTAGGAATTTGGATGTCCTAAAAATTAAAAATTTTACTGATTTTTCTTTTGGGAGATGATAACTACCTTAGACTACTTAGGGGATAAAGTTCGTTCTGACTGGCAAACACCCTGAATTTTAAAAAGCTTTAAGAAAAATCAGCCTTTCCAAAACAAAAAACAGGTCTGTTAGAGAGTTTTGTTTTGTTTTTTTTTTAATTTGAGACAGAGAAAGAAAGCGTGAGTGGGGGGGGGGGGACAGAGGAAGAGGGAGAGAGAAACCTCAAGCAGACTCTCCATTGAGCATGGAGCCCGACGCAGGGCTCGATCCCAGGACCCCAAGATCATGACCTGAGCTGAAATCAAGAGTCGGGTGCTCAACCGACCAAGCCACTGAGGTGCCCCAACCTATTAGAGATTTTTAAGGAAGTTCTTTTAATATACATAGGGATAATTTGCTGTAAGAATTAATTAAACTTTTGGTATATAAGTAGAGGTTTCTAAAGGACTTGGATTACTTCAAAACTATTGGATTACAAGTATTGTTTATTAAAATCTGGTTTATACTTTCTTAAAAAAGAGTGTTTTTTTGTTTTTTTTTTTTAAACACCTCTCTAAGTAATTCAAAATTCAGATTTAGGCTTGTTATGTATGAGCAATACATTATAGAATGTGCTCTTTTCTCAGTATATGTTATAAAATGTTCTGTTTTCTCAGTTTAAACTCTTATAATTGTGGATGGTATTTTCCCTTTAATTTGGTTAAACTCTTGGAAAAGAGGATTTAATGGTTTGATTATTATCAATGATAATGACAGTGCCAACATTTATTGAGCTCTTATTCTGTGTCAGGCATCCTACATTTAGCAATATCTTATTCCTCCCAGCAACCCTGTTATCATCCATAAAGCCAGAGACTTATGTAATTCACTCAGTGTATTTACCTAGTAAATGAGAAAGCTAGGATTCTAATGTTGGTAGACTGACTGGAGAGTCAATATTTGGAACCTAGATAACTTCTCTAGATCAGGAAGAAAAGGCCTAGAAGACATCAAAGGACTTGACTTTTAATAGGAGGGGCTCAGATTATTCCTGACATAAGACACACCTGTGTGAAAATGTGGCATGGATGGAATAGGGTACAGCGAAGGAACAACTTTGTGGCATTCTTGTCTGCTACAACTTTTACATTTAATCATCACACATCAACCCTGTGAAGTAGTTATTTCCTCATTGAAAAGAAAAGAACAGGTGATTCTCCATTTACCCCATCATTTTGAAGACATTGTACTCTCTTGCTCCCCACAATGTTATTTTCTCTTTTTCTCTGCTTGCTTCGCTGCCATTTCTCCCACTCTTCCCTTAAGTGTTCCCCAGGGTTCAATCCTTGTTCATTTTCCACGTGCTCTTTCCCTTGTGACCTCAAACTCTGATGTGATTTTCATTACCAGTGACTCCTCCATGTGTCTGCAGTGCTAGTAGAGCCTACTGGATACCTCCACCCAGCAGGTGTCCACAACTACTTCAGACACAGGATGTTTAAAATTTCACCCAGTCATCTCTCCAGATCTGTTCCTCTTCCTTTAGGCTCTGTCCTGGATCCTGACTTCACCATCTGCCACCAGCCATGCCAGAATCTAGGACTAATCCTGAACTCTTCTTTCACTCTTAACTCTTGCATCCATATCAGTCACCAAGTCTGTAGATTTTACTTTCATATCTGCCTATCTTGACCATCACCAGTGCAGCCCTCTAAATTCAGGTTTCCATAACTTCTGCATTATAGTGGTGTCCAAGCTGGCTGCCCATCAGAATCACCAGAGGAACTTTGAGATCACAGTCCTGGGCCCTATCCACAGAGATTTTGATTCAGTAGATCTGGGGTGGGGCCTAAGAATCTATACTTTCTTTTTCTTTTTTTTTTTTTTTTAAGATTATTTATTTATTTATTTGAGAGAGAGAATGAGAGAGAGAGAGAGAGCATGAGAAGGGGGAGGGTCAGAGGGAGAAGCAGACTCCCTGCTGAGCAGGGAATCTGATGCAGGACTCGATCCCAGGACTCCAGGATCATGACCTGAGCTGAAGGCAGTGGCTTAACCAACTGAGCCACCCAGGTGCCTGAATCTACACTTTCAACAAGCAGATTGTTCTTATGTGGGTGGCCCAGCAATATAGAGATGTTTGAGAACCACTGATCCAACTGGTTTCTCTGCCTCTTGAGGTCTCCTCTTCCCCTTCAGTCCATCTCCCATCGTTTCTGCCATTATCTTTTAAAAGCTAAATGTGATCCCCTATTTTTAACCAATTAAGCATCTCCCCATTATCTACCAGGCAGATTCTAGCCTCTTCGGCATAGTTTGTAAGGCTCTCCCAGGTCTGCTCTGACCCATAAGCCTCCAGTCATCGTTCTTTGTAAGTATCTGCTACCTCAAGCCTGCTTAGTTTCCAGAATAAATATGTTACTTCTTGCTTTGGGGCTATTTATACATATGGTTCTCTCTGCAAGAAGGCCTTCCTCCTCTCTGTTTGGCAAATTCCTCTTCCTTTTCTTCAAGAAACAATTCAAATGTCTGTTCTTGAAGTCCATCTTGTCCCCTCTCACCTGCCCTACCACTGTTCTTAAGACTGTCCCCTTGTCCTTAAGACTTACACTTATCATCCTGCAAAGCAATAGATTTTTTATGTCTGTCTCCTTTTTCTAGTAAATGAGTTTTGAGAAGCAAGAACCAAATAACCTCCCCCAAATCACTTAGCTCAGAAGGGGTGGAGAGTCTGACCTGAAAGTCTGTTCTATCTATCTATCATGCTGTGTGATTGTAAGATACAGATCAGGTTAAAAATAAAAACCTGTTGGTGGAGGGTATTTGAAGGAAGCCGCACTTCAGATATACCATTTTTCCTCCCACTTGTATAAAGGTATAATTTACACATAATAAAACTAACTCTTTTTAGTTAACAGTTGTGAGTTTTGACAAACACAACTGTATTGTAACCATGTAACCATGCAACCATTACATGACCATTACATACAGTTGTGTAACCATTATATGACAAACACATACAGTTGTATAACTATTACATGATCTTTATCATACAGATAAACTTGTATGATTAGTGAACTAACTAATGTTTGTAAATAAATCAATCCTACTTGGCATGAGCATTATGAAATAATCAAAATGTTCTAAATGGAAATGATTTCTTGAGAAAAAGTTACCCCTTAAGGGTCCAGAAGGGTTAAGGTAATGTGTCTTAGTAATTCTTATTATTAAAATATAGTCTCTTTTTTTTTATAACTAAAGAACATTTATTCATTTTTCACTGACTTTATCTTGAGCATGTAACTAAACTGTCTCTACCCCCCCACCCCAACCTGAAGAAGGGTTAGTACAGTGAATGTTATAAAGCAGATATGAACAGTTTGAAGGACTGGAACCAAGATTAACTGACAAACAACTTCGATCTAAATTATCATAAAAATGTTTAAGTAAAAAAAAAAAGGGAGGGGAAGGGGGCAATGGGGGTTTCAGATTGAACAAGATCCTCATATTTCATCTAATACATTCAGTCCTGGCTAGAGTATACCAAAATGGAAACAGGATTACTATAATACAGAACTTCCACTACAGCACGCTGTACACACCTATGTTCCAAGCCCACCCCCATCCCCCTACTGCTTCTAACTCAACTATTTCCCGGCCTGTTGGGCTTGCCGATGAAGGAGCACGTAGATCTTCTCTTTAATCCAGTCTTTGTTATAGGGCTGGTATGTCTGGGTATCAGCTCGGTAAACAAGGCAGCTGAGGTCTGCCAGATCGTCAATAAAATCAAACAACTGACTGATATCATATGTGATATAGGGGCTGTTGGGATTCATTCTCTTCAGATGTTCTTCATACATTTTACAAACACCTTCCATGCATTCATTCACAGATATATAGTCAGCATAAGTTCTGCCTTCCGGCCTCTTGGTAGGCTGTACCAGCAAAATGGTGTGAGACATCGCGCCAAACTCTCTCGCTGCAGCCTCTTGCTCCTGAACTTATTTTCTATAATACTTAGCTGTAGGTTTGCTTAAATTTAATTTAAAAGGAGGATAAGGAATTCCTTGCCAAAGAAGACAGCTCTTTCTACTTATGGAAAGACCAACTGCTTAGAAATTTTCTGAATTTAGGTGTAATTCAGCTTCCTAAAACTTCTTCTCATTGGTTCTAATTCTACACTCTAGAAATAGAGAATAAATCTGAGCTCTCTTTAGGTCTTTTAGCAACTGATGAGGCCTCTTTCTTTTCTCCAGGCTAGACATCCTTAGTTTTTTCCCACCTTTCTTTGTGGCATGGCCTCCAAAGCATTCATTATCCTAGACCAGCTCTGTCAGATGCAGCACCTAAGAAAGTGTGAGACTTGGTGTATCTCTTGTCCTTTTTTCTACTAAGGGAAATTTTGTAGGTCTCTTTTATTTTCTTTTCCTTGAAGAGACATGATTGATAGTCACAGTTCTATCTTAAAATATCACTTATACCAATAATTGAGGAAGGAATTGATGGAAATTGTCTCCCTTAAAATTAATGGATGTGAAGACTGAGTGATACTGGAATAGCTGCTGGGATACCTGAGGCTCTTGACCTCTCTGAATCTCACTGTTAAGTTAAAGAGATCATGGGGCACCTGGGTGGCTCAGATGGTTGGGCGTCTGCTTTTGGCTCAGGTCGTGATCCCAGGGTCCTTGGATCGAGCCCCACATCGGGCTCCTGGCTCAGCGGGGAGTCTGCTTCTCCCTCTCCCTCTGCTCCTCCCACTGCTCATGCTCTGTCTCTCTATATATCTCTGTGTCTCAAATGAATAAATAAAATCTTAAAAAAAAAGATAAAGAGATCATATCTAAATCTAAATCTAAAATTCCACAGCCCTAGTTTAGGGAAAGGTTTCCATGTAATGGCTTAAAATTGTTAATAAACTCAAAATCACTAACACATGAAGGCATAAATATGTTAATAAACATAGTAATAGTTACAAAATATAGGACAATTTGACAAATAAATCAACTAGAGTTAATTTATATTTGTGCCATATTGATCCCTCCCCCACCCCAAAGCGTTGCAAATAGAGAATTCCTAAGAATGTTATATAAAACCCATTTGAATTTTGGTATTCCTTGATGACAGACTTCAGTGGTGGCAGGAAGAATAGGGTTTCAATTAACTGTTTTCTCTCTCTCTTTTTTCCCCTAATAAATTCATGATATGGAATCCTATTCGTAACTGTGTAGAGGGCGCCTGGGTGGCTCAGTCGGTTAAGCATCCACCTTCGGCTCAGGTCATGATCCCACGGTCCTGGGATCCAGTCCTGTGTCAGGCTCCCTGCTCAGTGGGGAGTCTCCTTCTCCCTCTGCCCTCCCCACTGCTTGTATGCTCTCTCTCTCAAAAATAAATAAATAAATAATCTTTAAAAAAATAACTGTGTAGAATTCAGATACTGACAGAATACTGGAAATATGTCTTCTTTTTACTCTAATGTGCATAATCTATATTTGGATTCAGTTTAACTCAAATTTAAGTAAATTAAGAAGATTTAATTTACCCCTGAAATATGTTATTTGAAACAAACAAAACCCATAGAAAGAGAGATCAGATTTGTCCTTACTAGAGGTGGAAAGGAGTGGGGAGTGTTGGAGGAAGGTGGTCAAAAGGTACAGTCTTCCAGTTGTAAACTAAATGAGCACTAGGGATATACTGAACAACATGATGACTAGAACACTGCTGTATGATACACAGGAACATTGTTAAGAGTAAATCCTAAGAGTTCTCATTACAAGGAAAACATTTTTTTCCCTTTATTCTTTTCTTCTTTCTTTTCTTTCTGTTTTATCTATATGAAGAAGATAGATGTTAGCTGAACCTATTGTGGAACTCATTCACATTATGTGTAAATCAGACCATCAAGCTGTATGCCTTACACTTAAACAGTGAACTTTGTCAATTATGTCTCAATAAAACGGGGGAGGGGAATCTAAGCAAATACACACATCTTTCTTGAAGAAAGGCAACATATAAAAATATGTTATTGAAACATTTGAGTTCATGAAAGGCTGGATAATACATTATTTTAAGTTTATATAAAATATATAAAGCTTCAGTATTCATGATTTTCCTTTACTGTTCTAATTCCACAATTCCACATCTTTTTTCTTTTTTCTTTTTTTTGGGGTCAAGATTTGCGGGGGGACCTGTTATTAACGGTAAATTTTCATATCATTGTATGACACTATTGTGACTCACTCATTCCCTTTACGTGGAAAAGGGAACAAGTAAAAAGCATGGATATTTGAATCTTATCAGAAGTACTAAAGAAAAATTTATGCAAATTTAGAAAGACACAAATAACTGCAAAGACATGGAGAAATATCATGTGAATATCATCATAGGATGGCATTGTGATGCTGTGCTTCAGGTAGCTGACAGTTACTACAGCTTCCATAATGCTCATTGGAGGCAGAATTTTTAAGAGCGTTCTGACCCTGGTGAGCTGAAGGGCTAATTTGAGAAAGAGATGGTGTGTGAACTGTGGCCTTTTATAGGCTGAAGACAGGGTTTTGTTAAGTAGATGCTGATTGAATGCATGACTTGCACTGTTGGATAAAGAAATGGGGGCACTGCCTTTTTTCCCTGGAGAAAGCAATGAAGTAAAGACACTGCGCGCCTTATAGAGAGAGCACACATGTACCCCCTGAATACTGGATTGAAGTGTTGTTGACATTAGGTTCAAGTTGTATGCCAGCATAAAGGAGGATCTGGGAAGAGCTGTAGGAAAAGGTTGCTTTACGAAGAAACTTGGAATATCAGTAAATGTACTGTTGGATTTTATTTGAAGGGTTAGAGAATAAAGGACTAATATGAAAAAAATTACCCACTCATCATTTATTCATCAAATAAATGTTGTTTAAGCACCCTGATAAGCCTTGCAGTACACGAATGAGAAACCCAGACCCTGCCTTCAGGGAGATTACATTTTCAAGGAAAGTCACAGGACAGCGTGATGAGTGCGGTAGTGGTTTAGAAATGTGCAGGAACTTGCATGCACAGTGGGTCCCCTGACCAATGAAAATTGCCCATTTTTTGGATCCAGTTTTCCTCACCTTCAATTCCATTCTTCCTCCTAATTATCATTTTTAAAAGTAACAATTTTCAGAAGTTAAAAAAAAAAACGTAAAGGATTATCTAGTTTCTTGCTACTCAGAGGGTGGTCCATGGGATATTGACATAGCATTAGGTGGAGCTTCCTAGAAAATGCAGAATCTTCCTAAAAATGGGCTGCACCCCAGACCTACTGAGTCAGAACCTACCTTTTAACTATGCCCCTCTCCCCTGTGATTCTTTTTCTCATTCAAGTTGGAGAAGCACTAACTCATTCCCCTTCTTTCCAGCAGGTTTTATAGATGAAGGGATGAAGACAGATTGTGCCCTTTAAGTCCTCTGCACAGTAGCAGAGCTGATATTAAAACTCAGCCCATCTGTTTACTGATAGAGTCTAGAATGTCTTTTCTAATATCTCTGTTATTTCTTATCTACTCCCCTCTACCTTTTTACTCTTCCGTTGGCCTCTGTTAGTGTTGCATATTGTCAGATCTTCAGCTTCTTACTCCTGTCTCTTCCTCTCACTGTCTTTCTTAGTTCTGTCTTTAAACTTCTCTGTTGAAGGAGAGAATGGCATGGGCTAATCACACTATACATCAAAAAGGATGAGCATTTTTATTTATTCTTGATTTTGGGATAATTTTTTACCTGTTTCTCTCATTTTTTTCAACTTGTTGCTCAGAACTTACTTTGAAGTCAGCAGGAATTCTGTGTGTGATTAAGAGTGATAGAATTGGGGCGCCTGGGCGGCTCAGTTGATTGAGCATCCGACTCTTGATTTTGGCTCAGGTCGTGATCCCAGGGTCCTGGGATCGAGCCCCACATTGGGCTCCGTGCTCAGTGGGGAGTCTGCTTGAGGATTCTCTCTCTGCCTCTCCCTCTGCCCCTCCCCCACTCGCACGGGCTCTCTCCTTTCTCTCTAGATGAATCTTTTTTAAAAAATGAGTGTGTTATAATCTGTGATATTAGAAATTAGAATCTCCTTACTGATGAATTTATATTCCTTTCTTTGTTACATGGGATTATTTTATAACAGAATCCTTTTGCTCTTTGTATCAAACGCATGGAAAAAACTGTCTACCCTCTAGTTTCTGGATAGGAAGAGGAAGCTGCAGCTACTCCTCTAGTTCCTGAAGTGAGTAGAGCAGGGCTTCAGGATTTAGGAGTTTGTCTTAAGTTTTTTTCCTATAGAAAATAAATATCTAAGTAGATAAATACCCCATGCTTTAAGGTGGACTCTGTCATAGATACATAGCAGGATAATATGACAATAATAAAGAACAGCAAACAATCAGTGATAGGACCATAGTGGTACAATGCCTTCAACAAAAGTCAGCCACTCATCTTTTAAGCCACACCCTCTCATAAGAAGATTATTCTCTCTTGTCATGTAAGTGTTTTAGTTTATTTTTAACTCTGGAATATGTTTTGATTTGAGTGACAGAACCATAATTTCCATGAGTAGATAGATAGTAAGCCTCTCCTGTAAACTCTGAAATAAAACCAGCTTTTGTTTTTCTTCCAAGTCACTAGCACATCTTTCTAACAACTCTTATTTTATAGAAACATAGTTAATGTCACTTCCTGACTTTGGAGACTGTGTGATTAAACATTGTTCCATTTCTGTTTCCTTCCTTTTATCTTATTTTCTATCAATAGTGTATAGAAACAGACTAATTTTAAGTAAGATATTTTGAAACCAAATTATCTAATCCAGAGCTATTCTGCATATATAGTTTTAGTAAAGCTGACAGTTTAAATGGTGGGACACTGTAATGAGAAATTAAGTTAAATTCACTTAGGCTAGGTCTTAGGAACTGACTGAAAGGTAGGATTTTTTGTTGTTGTTGCTGTTTTAAAAATACATTCTTTTCCTCAGCATAGAACATAGA